CTGACCATGACACCACAATACACATCTTACAACAATGTACAAGTAAACTATGCATCTTTTGCCTCTTCCAAAAAATTATTTTTACACAAAAGTGGGCTGATATTTGAAAAAACACCAGAGCGGTCCCTCTCATTACCAAAGAAAACGACCATGTTTCCAAAGGTGAAATATGTCAAGGTCGAAGGTTCCCAATAGACTAGTTTGGTAAAATTCTGATCAGTAATTGTGTTGTTGTTTTTGCCCACTGTAGATCCAATATGGTGCCGGGATAATGAGGCGTTAATATATGCGGGGAGACGATGGACCACACAAAGAAATCTACTCATTGTTCATAGCAAGGGTTATACATTTTGTAGTTACAAATATATACAGGGATACACTTAGACCCCATTCATACCAAGGACGTTATATCATAACCTAGTTGAAGCTCCATGTTCATATAAAATCCTTGTTCATACCAAGCTTTATATATCCTTCTAGATTCTTTAGCAGAGTTTATATAAGCCTGGCGTGGCCCAAAAGTCAACCAGACTCTGGCGAGGGCGAGTTTATAGCAGACATCGGCCCCCAAACAACATTTATTCTATTCACCAAATTTTAATGTAACGCTGATTTCCTCTACCACCCAATCTAGATGTCTTGTCTTTGTGTTGCGTTGCCTGTTACCTACAACGTTTTTAGGTAGTAATTCGGTTCATGGAACGAACTCATGTTTAGGTAGATTTCGGGAGTGAAAATAATATTGTTTTCTAACCAGCATTTTGCCCGTTCTTCTTACCGGCTTTGAAAACACATGTGCACCTCTCAATTTACGCATTTGCGAAACGATCTACATGTATGGTGACCCCTTATTGTTTGGCAGTACTTGCGACGTGTGACGTGTGCAGGCCCGTATATTCCCGTACACACGACTAATTACCAGGTGTCCGGGCATGTCCGGAGGTATCACAGACCCGCACACGCCGTGGCTGATATTTCCTGCACACACCCGGACACACCCGGACACGCCAAGTTTCACGGGACATGTACAGGTCCGGAAACGTCCGGATATTCCGATTTTTGAGCAGTGTTCGGGGAAACCACATGTAAAGCGCCTTGGGTGACTTCACATAAACACGGCCTAAACCACCGCTCCGTGACCTAACTGAAGGCCTGAACGCCAGGTGTTATGTCACTGTAAACAACCGAGAGAAGAGCGAGACATTCATCATCATGTTACATGTATTAAAATTAGCATAAAGTCAATTCAATCTGACATGGCATTGTTAATTAAAATGTAATTTCTTCATTATTATTGGCCAGTCATAAATCTTTGCCTTTCTTCTTCATTAACTCATGCTTGATCTTATTTATATATTATTACATGTCTAAGTCAGACTGCATGAAACATATAAACTACTTATCTACGATTTCATGTCATTCGTTTCCTTCTGTATTCAAAGATAGCATTCTTTTATCTTCCAATGTGTATACACAAACATCCATGTCTAATAACAACACAGGCGGAAGAGGACTTCATAGAAGACGTCTGTCGTAAAGCACTGTTTGGGAACACTTGCGAACAAGTAGAAATCAGTCCCTGGTCTACACACGTTACCGTGAGCCCCCTAGCAAATGGTACCCGAACTTCAGGTAAAGTATCACTGATTTCCTCAATATGGTATCGTTTTCTGTCAGCGACTAATGAAACACAGCGTTACAAATGATGTTATGGCGTGGCCTCGGATAATTTTTAACGTCTCCGAAATCTTATAAATTAGACACCAGCATGTTTACATGAGTAGCATGTAGCTCAAATATGTATCCCTTTTCTTTTATCAGAAGTATGGATTAAAAGACGATCTGCAGAGCTCCGACACATTGCTGGTTCCCTGATCCGGGCTCCGAAGTACTGGAAGCACTACAGAGGGACACACCTGCCTCAGCATAAAGGTCTACACCTGGTACACGTGACTCCAGAGGTAACAAAAGCCATCAAGTCTCTCGTAGAAAAGACATGGCGAGAAGATGCTGTAGGGATAGGCATTGATGCAGAAAAACTCAAGCACAGAAAAATCGTCGTACATAACGTTCAAAGAATTGAAAACCCTCGCCTGTACTACAAATATGCCGCTCACCGACAGGAGTTCTGCTATAGAGCAGCCGAGGAGGGATTCTTCCGTCCCCAGAACCTCCTATAGCTACAGGCGTTTTAACACGCCGGTTTAAACAATCTGTTGGTACCAGAAATCAACGAACATTTCCTGTTCCACGGAACAAAACCGGAAAGGGTGGAAGCGATTATAGCCGGAGGTCTTGACTTCCGGATGTCCGGACAGGGTATGTTTGGAAGGGGGATCTATTTGGCGGAAAACTCGACAAAGGCTGACCAATACACAGGTTAGTAGTGCTTTGGCTTAGCCTGGTGTCCAGCCTTGTTAGCTTTAGTCCGGACTAAAGCTAACAAGGCTGGACTCCAGGCTGGCTTTGGGTACCGTAGGTTTACTTCTTGATATCTTATAGATTATTCCCCCTGATTATGCAAATATGATCCTCATTTCCATGAATCATATCAGTTCATCATATTCTCCACCAAATGACAGTCCTGTCTTAACAGAGAATGCCATTGACATTGTAGCATTTCGTCATAAATTATGCAAATGGTCCTCATTTGAATAGGATATGTTTAATGATGTTCACCTTAACTTAACTTTCCAATACCCTAAGTATGGAATTCCAGGCAGTTCTACTGCTGAATTACAGCATTTTCTCATTAATTATGCAAATTAAGTCTTAATTTACATAATTGATATCTGCCTGTGTTGCATTCATTCGCAATTGCATATTCCACTAGCTTGAATAGTCCTATTATGTAATGCAACAGATTTAGAGAATATTCTCATAAATTTTGCAAATTACATCAGTATTCGCATAATTATCACATTATTATGTCAAGCCTCACTTGGTTTTAGATATGTCGTCCGTCATTGTCTCTTATTCTCTGTTTCTAATCTGGCTTTACTTTTTGTACCGATTATAAATTGTTTACTTACTTAGCGTAGTGGCTAGGTCGTATAAAGGTCTTATTGAGTTGATCTGACCGTCTTGTCTTTACTTATGTAGACTGGATCTGGCAAAGAGGAAAAGAAGAAGGAAGGAATGACACAAAGACGATGTTTTTAGTCCGAGTTACTCTCGGTCGTCTGTTTGTGGGCCCGGATGACGGCACAGCCCGGGACTTCACCCGTCCTCCCTGTACCACCCATGGCTGTGCGAGTTGTGGTTTCCACCTCTCATCAATTAATTGTCTTATTTTCCTGGTTCTTAATGAAACAACATGAAGGATACATACCCACTTCTTTTACATAGACTTTGAAGTGTAATACGTAATAAATCCAGATGTCGGGAATATACGTTATTTTAAGTAAATTAATAATTCGCGCTGTGTGGCGTCGGTGGCGCAACGGTTAGAGCGTTGGACTCGGAACCGAGAGGTCCCGGGTTCGATACTCACCGTGACCCGACGTTGTGCCTTTGGGAAAAGCACTTTACACGACTTCCCCACCTATACGGTGGAGTGACGCCCACCGAGCCTCTTAAGCTAATCTGTCTGTCAGGGTGCCCCAAAAACACACTACAGATTTGGTGCGCCGATGTGACAACATCTGCACATTTGCCACTGAGAGCCGTTAATTTTCTTTTCTCATTATCATCCAGAACAAATCCTGTGAGGTGCATTACTATCAAGCCATACTAGTACTGTAAATAGTAAATATAAATCAACAAGCTATAGATGTATTCTCTCTTTCTTCTACAGATTCGATTGTAATCACGTGGAACGGTTCGACTCTGTGATTGGTGGCACGTCCAAGCACAAGATGTTCCGGGAATACGTCATCTATGACAGGTTCCAGGCCTATCCGGAATACGTCATCACATATTCCAGGATTCATTGATTATCGCTGTGTTTGGATACAGCCTACGGGTATGTAATCACACGATGTTTAACTATATTATAAAAATCACAAAGATCTGATTGAGTAAGATTAAGCAAGATTAACACTACTGTAAGTCCCCTGTCCCCTGTATAATGGTGCGGTCTATTCTAATAATAGACCACATTTGATGTTTCGGCCTCATAACCGATGGGAAATGGAGCTGATTGGTAGCCATCTTCTGAAAGTATGATGATGTCCAATAACTACTACTACACTGCCCCCTATATTATGACCAAGCTAGCAGACTCACCTCAACCGCTCATGCCTCATTAAACAACGTCCTACTGCTTTTCTCTTACTCCAGCGTCACCGGATCACCAGACCACGGCCAGATTAATACGTAGCTTCCAGATGCACTTCACGCGTACATGGCAACTATCAAAGATGAGCCACTGTTTTCTTATAGTGTCGTAGTCTTAGAGAAGTCAGGAAAGCTCATCATCGTTTCCAAAACCATCGGCCTTAAGGTGAATGAGGATAAAACCAAAGTCTTAAAGAAAAACACCACAATGATCCTATTGTGATAAATGGAAAACCACTGGAAGAGGTAAACTATTTCACCTATTTAGGTAGCAAGATGACTGTGGATGGAGACCGTACAAAGCATAAGACAAGCACACTCTAAATACGTGGCAGACATACTGGGAGAAGCTATAGTTGACAAACCCAAAACATTCTGGTCGTACATAAAAGGACTGAGGAAAGACCTTGTCGGGGTAGCACCCCTAAAGGTGGGAAATACCATCATCAGTGACAGCGGGAAAAAAGCAGAAGTACTCAGTTCACAGTTCAAAAGTGTTTTCACAGAGGAAGACACCACAGATATGCCATCTCTAGGTCAGCCCTGTACTCCTCCAATGGAACATATAGTAGTTTCTACTGATGGTGTCGAAAAAATGCTTCAAGGTCTCAATCCCTCTAAAGCATCCGGACCAGACCAAATACCACCGTGGTTCCTCAAGTTGACAGCTAGTGAAATCGCGCCTGTTCTAACCAATATTTTCCAACACTCGCTAAACACTGCAGAAATCCCTAAAGATTGGAGGGATGCAAATATATGCGCCATCTTTAAAAAAGGAGATAGAGCGGTCCCCAGCAACTACAGACCTGTTTCACTGACCTGCATATCCTGCAAACTACTTGAACATATCATCCATAGCCAAATCATGAAGCACCTAGAAAGTTACAGTATATTAACGGATTACCAGCATGGATTCAGAGCCAAACGATCCACAGAAACACAGCTTATACTAACAGTCCATGACATAGCTGGCGCACTAAACAGTAAACGGCAGGTAGATTTAGCAATACTTGATTTCACTAAAGCCTTTGATAAAGTCCCCCATGGCAGGCTCATCTCAAAACTGGAGTATTATGGAATCCAAGGCCCTACGCTGAATTGGTTAAAGGCTTTCCTGACCAACAGGGAGCAAACAGTAGTGGTTGAAGGGAAGGCGTCGGCTCCAGTTAAAGTAGCGTCTGGGGTCCCTCAAGGAACCGTCCTGGGGCCATTGCTCTTTCTCTTGTATATAAATGACCTACCAGATCAGCTTGACTCAAATGTGAGGTTATTTGCCGATGACTGTCTATTGTATGTAGAGCTTTCTACACAGACCGACTCACAACTTCTACCAAAAAGACCTGAACACCCTGGAAGAATGGCAAAGCAAATGGCTCATGCAGTTTAATCCCGAAAAATGCTACATTATGCACATAACAAACAAAGAACACCACATGCAACTAGCTACCAGTTTTGTGGTCAGGCTTTAGGCAACCACAAAAATCCATCCGTATCTGGGCGTCACGCTGACAAGCGGACTGAAGTGGGGTGCACATGTTAATAATATCACAACTAAGGCGAAACAGACATTGGGAGTGATTAAACGTAATCTGTGGGCATGTCCAACGAGAGTAAAATCCATTGCATACACGTCACTTGTAAGACCGAACCTAGAATACGCTGCGACAGTATGGGATCCATATACAAAGAAAGACAAAGACAAATTGGAAAGGGTACAGAATCAAGCTGCAAGATTCTGTATGAACAACTATGTAAGAGGTGCTAGTGTCACGGAAATGAAAAGAAACCTACAGTGGACCTCACTTGAAGACAGAAGAAAGATGTCTAGATTATGCATGATGTACAAAATGACTAATAAACTGGTGGATGTCCCAACTACTAAGTACCTAATACCAGCCCAGAAGAGAACAAGAAATAGCCACGCATTCAAGTACCAGAGTTATCAACCAAGGATTGAGGTGTTCAAGAATTCATTCTTTCCTAGAACTATCGCAGAGTGGAACTCACTGTCACCAAGTACAGTAGGGGCACTGTCAATAGATAGCTTTAAACAATGTCTAGAGCTAGAAGTTCAAGGGTTAGATGGAACAACTCGATCGGTGTAATATAGCCAGCTGCCGCCGCGCCGCGTGCCTGCGAAGCTGGTGTGTTACGCCGAAAGGCGGTTATACCGGCTATACAGATACAGATACAGATACAGAAGTAGACATTAGGATCAGCGTTTGCAATTCTAAGACCGATATGGAGAAACACTAACATACATGCCAAAACTGAAATCAAAATCTTTAAAAGCAACGTTCTGAGTGTTATGCTGTATGGTGCTGCACGACTCTCATTCAGCATAAACTGAACGTATTCCAGAACAAATTGAGTGAGTGAGGGAGTGAGTGAGTGAGTGTGTGAGTTAATGTGTGAGAGAGTGAGTGAGTGAGTGAGTAGTGAGTGAGTGAGTAGTGAGTGTGTGATTGAGTGGGGATGGGTGTTTGAGTGAGTGAGTGAGTGAGTGGGGATGGGTGTTTGAGAGAGTGAGTGAGTGAGTAGTGAGTGAGTGATTGAGTCAGTGAGAGTGAGTGAGTGAGTGAGTGAATCGTAGTCTTAGTTTTTGGTAATCACAGTTAAATATTATCAGTTATTTTATATTCGATATATCTATAACTATTTGACTGTATTTACCTTGTGTTAATCGAATGAAATGTATGAAATATGTGTTCAGCTTAGCAGCTGCCTTGTGCCCGCATTGTATTGTCTTGTTGCAAACTCAATAAAGAGAAAATGTCAAAAATGTTTACAATATCTGAATAAGATATAACAGGTATATTTTTACATAGTCCATAGTTGAAATAGATATATTTAAGTTGTTACTGCCCATTTCACATTTCACATATAATTGATAGGAAAGCAGGTTCCAATGACAGGATTGTACATTGTTAGGTGATTGTGATTACTTCATAAAATCTTTATTTTCTAAATCAAAGCAAAGCTTTACAAGTGAGTCACATTGTTATGTACTTTACAACAGATTTGATATTTACCAAAATCAAGTTTTATCAAACGTCTGCATTCATTGGTAATCGTGTGAAACGACACTCATCTGTCAACTTGCCATCGCTGCGGTAAAATAGAGCCACATCAATCAACAAGAAATACAATTTTAACGCTTTACTGTTAATAGTACAATGTTGATGATAGTCTGTGCTATATATTAGAATTCCTTCGGTTGACAATGTGATATAATGACCTTAGATGACTTGGATACTAATAGAGATAGAAAAACCTGTAAAGTGAATTGATATGATGCCTAACACACCCCAAAAACTACAATTTCTAAAGTACCTTCCGAACAGCCTTCAAAACGTGTTTAAAAGTTCCATTTTCTTATACTCAACAAGGTGAGAAGGGGATCAATTTTCAAAGCAAGTCTGTGGCGCCCCCGTCTTGTTGAGAAATGGTTGTAATACCCCAATACCCCGGATCAAAACTAAATCGCTCATAATTCTTTTCCTCATTCCAGACCGCATTGTGGGTTGTATCCACCATTGTACGTACATACATTATGTACATTATAACATCAATCATGTCAACATAATACAATAGTTGCAATAAGCCCTGTAGAGTGCTTGACTGTGGCACAAAGTAAACAGAATGGAACATGCTTATTGCAAGCATTAATATTTAAAAAAAAAAAAACTCCAACCATCTTCATCTAGATCTGCTCGGTAAATAGATGATCTAGTAATCTGCAGCATGATTGTACAGCACATGTGATACAGGATTCTACAGATGTAAAAGCTGCTAGGGACACCACACTTGCGTCACTTCTTCCTTACTCCAACAGCTTTATACCACGTAAAAATCATGACTGTAGAATGTTTAGAACAGGAGATACAACGCCTGGAAGGTCGGCTGCAGTACCAAATTTGCAAAAAGCGCCCTTGGAGCAAATTGTGCACAGGCAAAAAAACGCCCCTGCAGTTCCAACGCAAGATGCTAGAGACACCAAATTTACGTCACTTCTTTCTTACTTTAACAGCTTTTTACCACATAAAACTCATGACTGTAGAATGTTTAAAAGAGGAGATACAAAGCCCGGAAGATTGGCTGCAGTACAAAAGTCAAACAAATCAAGTGGCCCGCGTACTTTTTCAAAAGAGTAATGTCTCATGAGTATTTGTACCAAGTTTGGTGCTTGTATCACAATTTGAAAGATTCCTCCAAAATTTGTTTTGGCAGGCTATGACCTGATAATCATATTATATCACTAGTGAACTGATCGTCCGTCAGGATGCAAAGGACTGTATTTTGTTTCTGTCAAGATATGTTGGAGGGAATACTTGCACTTATTTTTGGCTGTGGGTAGATACCGGGCAACCGGGCTACAGGAAGAAATCCTTTTTTCTTTCAATCGCACTTCAAGTTGGTCAAGTTAAAATTTTGCCTATAAACACTAGTCACGTTACCAACTTTTGTTGCAAATTTGTAAACATAAAGGTCAAGGGGGTTGCAATATGCAGATATTAAGCAAACCAGTGGATTTATTCATAGGTGAAACTTTTGATTGAAATGTTTTAACTAAAAAGTGAAATAAATGATAAGGAGCATATTACTATCATAATATTAGTTGGTTGAGCAACATGTTTGGAATGACAAATCATATTGCGTTTAGACGCAAATCGCGACTCAGGAGCGTTCAGATGGGGCCACTTGAAACCGGCTTCGGGGTAAACCACATGTAAAGCGCCTTCGCTGACTTCATATGAACAGGGCCTAGAGAAGGGCAGGAACATTGGCAGATTTGCAAATGAATGCCTTATTTTCATAATTAATGGAAAAAGCTATAATTCCGCAGTGGTAACTGCTGGGAAATTATTAATTGCCACATTTGGAAGTTTAGTGAAGGTGAACATTACTTAACATACCTTTATTCAAATCAGGTCATCATTTGCATAATTTATGTGGAAATGCTAGAATAGCCTTTCTTATGTTCAGACCGATTGGGTGGAGATCAACTGATATAATTCATGCAAATGGTACTCTTGTACATTACATAATCACGGATAAAAAGTATAAGTAGTAAGTTTGAACGGGTAACATGACTTGGTGAAGATATGAGATCGTGGGACTCTTGTTATGAACCCTGAAAATTACTATAGCTTGCATATAACCAACCTTGTCTATGCCAAAATGATAAGGATTTCACCAGTGTGTTACACGTTAATAGGTAGGGGCCATGTGAATATGTCGCATGGATATTTTGCTAATGAGCAGGATTGTTAGCCATTTTTCAGGTGGTCACCACCAGCAAGTTATTGTAGAGGACACCCTTGCTAAGATACAGATAAAACTAGAGAGGCAGAATTTGCGAGCGGTATACTTCAGTCCTCTCACTCCCCATGCAAAAATTGACTGTTCCTACCGTACCCGGAAGTACAAAACACCCCCTTTTCTCCGTACATGAACCCTCTGTGTTCCCCATGTACTTTATTGTCCCGTGATTACATGCACTTTGACCTTCTGACGTGACCGGGGGATTTCCGTTAGACTCATTTACGCACCGAAACCTGCGCCTTCAGATCACAAAAGAAGCCGCGACCCTTGCCGTGACACGTACTTTAAAAGGGCGCTCAACGAACCTGCTTCGGAACTCGTTGGACAGTACACCGGTAAGATCATTTGGTTGACTTCTTGTTTGCTTATTTGTCCTGTGAATTCGAGGGGATTCATTCCTCAGCTAACCGACATCTTGCAAATGCAGTCGTCCCTCAGTAAGACATCTGGAGCCGCATAGTTCCCGTTTAGAACTTTTATTCAGCCTGTCACACGACCGGTTTCGCCTGTGTGGCTTCTTCAAGTGTACAGAGGCTAAATGACACAAGTAACATAAAGTTCTCACTTGTTTGCTTATTTGTCCCACATAACCGGTAAACCACCTTTTGTACGGTAAGTACAAGCTGCGTATGACTGGCCTAGAAAGTTTGATTCACTCACACCGGCAAGTACCCCTACTATGTTCGATAAGAGTGTTTGGATCTTTAACGTGTGTAACTCTCCTCAAACAGGGAACCTCGCTCGCAATAATTCCAGATTCCTTCGGAGGGCAAGGGACGATCAAATTGGCGTCCTGGATACTGACCTGCCAACTGGCTGACCAATTTTACATGTATTGGGACCTCTATAACTGTTGAATCATCGTAACCATAGACACCTTGACAGAAACGATAGGTATTTGTAGTTCAGAACAGCAAAATGATACTGCCTGGGCACTTGTGTAACTTTAAAAGTGTGGGCTTTGATAAGATGTGATGACAATAACATTTACATCCTGTACATGCAATTGAGGATGTTCTAAATTGGCTCGTTGCATGCCCGCATGCTGGTATTGTTGAAATGTCGATGTTGTATTCCAAAACATGTTTTGGATCGTTGTGGAATACAACACACATTCCAATTCGTTGCAATCCAAACCATGTCACAGCTGGACCACGATGTGGAATATTTCAATGCTGTCAAGCATCCAGAGTTTTGTGTACAGTGCATCATCCGGGACTGCACAAGTAAGCCTTGTCTGTCTGTCTGTATTGGTATGTATGTGTTTAGGTTAGAACTAAAACACGTGATTGTTATTACAAAACTCGTGTTTTAGAACGGATCACGTTTTGGAATACAATACATTCCGCTTCATGTTATTTCAAATCATATTTTAGTGGGGTCGCGTGGCGTAACGGCAGAGTGCTCGACTCGGAACCAAGACGTTCCGGGTTCGAGGCCTGACATGCAACCGATCTTGTGCCCTTGGGAAAGGCACTTTACACGACTTTCCTTAAAAGATATTTTGAAGTCGAGCGCGGTTTGGAATACAACCGTTCACGTCTTACTGACTTGATTGTACCATCTCGTGCCCCCTTAACAATACTAGTAACTCGGTAACTCATGATCATGACCACATTGAAAGAGTCTTTCTCTGACGTTATTGTTGACTCTGCAACATGAGGAAGTGAAACTATGACCTAAGCGGGTTTGAATACAAAGGTGCGCCACCGAAACCTTAACTGTTGTCACCCGATACGTGGCCACACAGACATGTTTTTTAACGGTGTCGCTCAATGCAAGGCCATTTTTTGGCCACTTCTAGGCATAAAGCTAGAGGTATAGAACTGTACCAGCAACTCTTCTCCCTGAGTCAGAAACATCATGATTGAGACCAGCCCAATTTCTCACAAGTAGTGAGGTCTAACTGACACAATAGGAGAAGCAGGGGTTACGAGACTGGTCGGGAAAATTTTCTACCCCATTTTAGACCATAATGATTTGTTCCACTTCCGCTCACGTGGGTTCTTTAACGTGCTTGAGGTGTGTCTCTCCTCAAACACGGGACCTCCATTTTAACGTCCCATCCGATAAGACGCCCCTAAGCTTTTCTAAAGGGTCTTGAAAGCTAACAGTCAGAGCCATTAGAAACTACAAGCCTTTTCTAATGGCATTATTTTTGATAATACTTTTTGAATTTTGCCGAATTTATGATTTTTCTAGGTATAGCATCATTTTTTGTATTTCTTGCACTCGCTTGTCACTGAATAACATTCAATGCAGTCATAGCAGTGACCAATTTATGAATAATTTATCAAAACCCACGAACCTGGTTCTCAGTGTGGCACGCGAGGGGCAAAAACAAGTACAACCCTTGTTCGTCGATGACTGCTAAAAGGCCCCCTCCCGTGTCATATACCATGTTACCTTCCGTAAACAGAACATCGTGCGTGGCTGAGCCGACATCCATTAAACATTTTGAATATAGAACGGCCTTGCAACAGTTCGGTTTTGATCTTTGAAACAGTCGCTGAGTCCATGTTTATATACTATATATATATATATATATATATATATATATATATATATATATATATATATATATATAGCCAGTGTGTTTGTGTAAAGGGTATAATCTTATGGATTATTGATCATTATCGCAGATTTCCCACGCCATAAATGTAACACGACAAGTTGGAAGTTTCTTCGGATATGCGCAAATCAGACAACTGGACGTGTGGATTACCTTAACATCATGTCAAAGTTTGTTTACCTCAGGTTAATGTTGACATGACGCCGTGTGTCCATGGGAAACAATTACCTAAGC